ACGATTCGTCGAGGCGGAGCTGGGCATTCTTCAACTTCTCTCTGAACTTATCGCCAGCAGTAAGTCTTCCACTCGCCTCTTATTTCCCCAGAAATAACGTCTGACCCTTGCACAGGATATCTGAACTCAAAGGTCACAACTGATTATATCCTGCTGCTCATAGCATCTGCTTTGGCCTCTCGAGGGTCACCAACAAGCGACAAGTTCCGCCCTCAACTACAGGCTTACATGTGGCTCTATTACCGAGACCAAATACCAGCAACGGATAGCGAGGTTATGGCAGAGCTGGTCAAGGTATTCCAATTCACGGCCTTCGGGAACCACGGTACAGAGGCAGAAGCGGATGCTTGGTTGTCCATGGCCAAATACCTTGGAGGTCCTACGCAACCATGATCAGCCGAGTGGAATTGTCACTTTTCCCCCAGCAATGGAGGAAAGGACGCGGAGGCGGGCTGTTGGGCTTCAGCTCCTGTTAACCACTTTGTCGCATGTAGTAGCACTGTTAAAGACAGGGAGTCCACAATCTAAAGCACATATTCTTAATTATGGACATCAATCGCCCCTCACCAATGCCCTACCAAGTCTTAGGCCTGGCGTTCAAATTCAAACGTTTAGGCTGCGGCGCCTTCTTTCAAAAGGTGCACCAACCTAAGCAGACTGGAGACAGGATCTATGTCAACAAAGTCACTGAAGGTGATTAGGTCCGTAGATGATTAAAAAAATGTCGTATGTATGTACTGTTCTGAGGGTATGTATAGGTAAGTAACAGAAAACTGAGAGCATCCAGAAGAAATAAAGATAAGCGAGCAACAGAAGGAGAAAAAGAGTCCAATTCTGTCCACTCATCCCTCCTCAATACCCATCAGAAGAAGCAGCAACACAATACCCCCAGGCGGCCACCACTCGGATCGAAGTGGTCATGATACATATAGCGTGACGAGTCGTACTAAAGCATGTTGAATGTCCAGGAGAGTCGTATCGTTTGCGTGTTTTGGCGGTCGTCGTCAAGACACTGGTTGGAGCGTCGCGGCGTGAACGGTGGATGAGGTAGGCGGGATGAGTAGATGCATAGATGCATGTGTGATGGGCGGTGTGGGGTGGCGCATAGGATTGGGTGGCATGAACGTTAAGAGAGAGGGAATCAGGTGTCGGTCCGTTGCTGACCTTGCAACGGACAACAGCACCATGGGAACAGAGGCAGAAGTAAAGGAAAAGAGTACGTCGAGAAAACGTCGAATGAATGTCGGGAAAGTGAAAGCGACATGTGATCGACAGCGTGCTCTGAGCCGTACGTCTGCCAAAAAGAGCTCCCGAACGGGGTATGGGTGCTGATGGGGAGGAAGATGAAAAGGGGAAAAAGTGATAAGAAGATCGAAGGAGGATGGGTGAATAAATAGATAAAGATATTGTCCTAGGTTCGATGAGAGACCATGCGGATTGGGGACAGCAAATAGATGTGGTCGTCGACCCCTTGTGCCGCCTTCTCATGCACACTTGCATCGTGCTTCGAATTTGGCTCACGAGGCGAACGATCGGAAGCAAAAAGGGAAGAAAAAAAATAGGTATAGGGAGAAATGAAAATGCGGGGTTTGGGACGTCGGGGAAATTTGATGGGTTCAAGGCTTCTCTTAGTCCCCGTTCAATTTCCCCAACGTTTTTCCATTAACACACACTGGGCAAGTGCAGTATCAGGTCCGAGTCGTTCTTTAGGTTGTCGGAAGATTGGATAGAAATACAACTTGTGCTTGATAACAGATGCAAGTGACTAGGATGTTAATGCAAAAATTCCGCAATCTAGACAATGGAGCCTGAGGATCGAAGGGCATCCTCTGTCATTGCCGGTGGTGGTATATGTGGTGGTGAAGGGGATCTTGAAGGTGGGCGGGAGGTCGGTGAGGGCGGTGACGGTGATCGGGTGGGCCTTGATAAGGATGACGAGGACTGCGCGGAGAGCGAAGGCATCTTTCGCTGGATCTGCACAGAATTCGCAGAGCGAGCAGGTGGTGGGCGTGATGTTGGTCGCCGGAAGGTCTAGAAAGAGACGTATCAGGACCGAAAGCATGATAGAAGCACTGATATGATATGGAAGATAATAATAGCAGCACTGATGAAACCATCGCCAAAAGACCGGCGGTCTGGTACACTCCGTCGAATGTGCAAGGCCACACCAATCGGCATTTCGCCCGATAGCAGTCAACAGCACTGCAGAGCATTTCAAAGTGCGTAGGGCACAGACGATAGAAAGGCATTGATAAAGCAATATCACTCACATGTCTAGACATGATCATCTTGGCCATTGAGACAGGAATATCAGATTCATAAAGCGTGGGAACTGGGCGATTGTCAGGGTGATATCGAGCAGAAGACACACGGCGCTACTCACGAGGACGGGCGAATGCAGGACCTGTGCGCCTGCCGACTTGGCTCATAGATGGTGCACGACGGTGCTCATACTGAGGCCAGGACTGCTTCTCGTTGCTGAAATTCGATTGGGCCGATGCGACGGGGTGGCGCTCCCATCGAACGAGGCCCCACAACCATGACGAGGTAACATTGCTGGTCTGTTCTGCAGGCTGAGGCAGGGCGCTCTTCTCCTGGGGTGGCATGAGAGACTGAGCGGGTATGGGGTGCTGCTGTTGCTGCTTCTTCTCCTGAACCAGGGCGAGGTGCTCTTGGAGACCAACCCAAAGAGCGCGCACAAAAGAGGCAAGGACAAAGACGGCGAAGAGCGAGAGCAGGATATTCGACGACGAAGGGAATCCTGACAGAGTCAGGTCGACGTCAGACATCGATACTGGGAGGGGCGGTATCGACATCCTGGGCATCTGGGGGAGCTGGGGCATGGTTGCTGGAAGTCTGACTCTGACGAGCATTATTATACTCAATGTCAACGCAATTGCAGCGACCTGAACGGCGGCAAATGAAGAGGGAGATGACGGTAAACGTTGAGTTTAATTGTCGCCTAGGCCAGACTGATAAACACGCACCGCTTGCAACTGACTGCCTGACTGGACCACGAGCAGGGATTCGACTGCAGCGACGACAGCGACGACGACGACGAGCGACGGCGGGCGGCGACGAGGACGGCAAGGATTCGAAAACCGGGAAAACCGAAAAACGTGTGCAGGGGGGAATATAAAGTAACAGAGAAAGACAGCGTGGGACTTCGGCGGAGCTGTCGTGGCGACGTTTGACATTCCCACCATACGGCCACGGGATGCCTTTTTGGGACGGAAGCCCCTGTTCCCATGGAGGTTTCACGGACGACTGTTGTTCGTCTGATTGCGCTTCTTTCTCTGAACCAGCCAGAATCTTGGGGCTCACAAGACCGACTTTCATCCGTCAAAACTTTGCATGAATGTTGCATGGTACAAGGCGTGTTGTGCCTCGTTTTCTGCCTCACCCTGGCAGAATGAACTGAACGTGGATGTAGGTAGGAACAAGCTCTCCGTCACCGACGGGAGTAAGCATCGTATATAGCGGTGATAAGAGCACTAGAGGAGCCTAGAGGCTCGATTTCCCTGTGCGCCTAAACTGCGGATAGCCTTGCGTGCTTAATTGATTTCCTCGTAGATGGTCCAAGGTGATCCTTGGGCGCTGCCATTGATTGGTCTGCCCTTGAGTTCATCTAATCTGTAGGTGCCATCCATCCAACTCGCAATCTATGAATGTCTAGCAACGGTAGGTGGTAACAGGTGGCAACCAGACGAGAAGGCAGAATGAGCACAATGTCCCATCACCGAAAGTGTGATAGAAGGCAGTAGCCCCTATTGCGCAATCCTCAAGTCGCGCGGTTGCAGGTCAGTGATTTCATTGGTTTTTCGCTTCGAGGACTCGACGTCGGGAAATGTGGGTCCTCTCAATACGTCGATTGTGCTCTCGAATCCCTTTCGTCATGCGCCGGTGGGCCATATGTCGGAATGCCGACCGCGCTAATAATTGTCGGGCAGGGACACACAGCGAGTAATCGCACATCACTAAGCGGCTCTCTGCTGCCCTCGCTCCGTGACTCTCGTAAGTATCGCAGCCAAAACACATTCTTTTATCTCGAGCTGATCCTTTTGCTACCCAATAGGCTTTGCGCTGCACTCAAATGAAGGTACCAGTAGATCCTTCGTTGCTTCTCCGAGGACGCTCCGACTGAGGTCTAAACACCCCCTTCTCGGTCGTTGATCATACGACGGTTCCGCATCCATTAGACTCGCTGGTTAGCACCTGAGCCAAGAAACGCAATACACACCGTGACCTTCGCTCGGACCGCATTAACCAATGGTTGGTGCGACGGCGACGTAGGCCTTTCAGGCCCGGGACCAAACCCCAGACCAAGAGGTCTTCTTAATTGACGCGACGTTAATGAGTGACGATTAGTTCTTCCGTCTTATCTTCCGTGTTCCTCTCTTGTGTTTGCTTATCCTCCATCTTCTTCTCGGTCCTAGCGCCACGTATGCACTTGCGCAATTAAAGGAAGCTCGGACATTCTTCGCCATTGTCTAGCTCATTGCTCCACAGCTCAGCTGAGGTCATGAATCTAGTCCTTCATGACGTGCCCAACACTCGCATGCATCCATTGTAGAGCAAGTGAATGGATAAGCTTTTGTTCCCTCGCTGCGCAACCAGGTTTGAACCATGCCATTTCAGCCCGTCACAAAATGGAGTGCGCACCGGTCCACATGACTGCTCTTAGACTTCATGAATATAACACGAGGACTCTACCGTGTATCCATTGTTAAATTGTTGTGAGACAAACGGTCTGAGCTTCCTGCAGCATGCAACATTCATACATGCCGCATGTCAGGACGGATTAGGTGACTTCCCTTCTTTAACCTCAATCCCAGCACGACAGCATGTTTTCTATCTTTGAAGAACCCTGTCCGGACTTGGCAATTGGTTATCTGAGCAGTTACTTACACTGCTTCCTCCTGGTACCCTTCTGATCTCGCGGATGGCGCCATAAACAATATTAGGTTGTCAGATTTGCCAGTGTCGCTCCCATCCTGCAAGCTGGAATGGCCGAGTCGTTAAGGCGAGTGATTTGAATTCAGTCCTTTGGATTTTCATTATCACTTGGTGTTTCACCGCGTAGGTTCAAATCCTGCTTCCAGCGAACTTTTTGTACATGTCTTGGCTCGGAGGCAAAGCTCCCTAGAAGACGTTTGCCGTATACTGTAGAAATTCGATCAATTCGTTGGTCACGCGTCACGCACCCTCTGAAAACAACGAAACCCCCTGGCCGTCACGCGTCCCATCTGGGACCAACGAATCTGAGGAGGTCTTGGCGCCCTCGCCCCTCCAAATTAAGCCATTTTTTCGGCGCCTACGGCGCCAAATTTCGTTGAGTCACGGTCCTTGACCCCCTTCAACGGAATATCAGGTTCGTTGGCAGTGTCACGCGTCACACCCTGCAACGAATTGATTGAATTACTACAGTACACTGGCTTGTTTGTCGTAGCTCAGAGAGGAGCGTTGGAATGCGCTAGGACTGTTATCAGAACCGTCGGTTGAGCTAGGATTGTCGAAGAGATGAATTAAGATCGAAAGTGCTCTATGATGATTGTACATGTACAGGGGCAATGATTAGGAAAATAATGATAAACGAATGTAATGATCGATGCTGCGAGGAATGTGGGGAAGGAGGTGTCTAATGAGGGAAACGTGCAAACCAATCTAGATCTTGAAACCACCAGTCAGGCTGATGATGTTGTCAGGGTCAAGCCGGGTCTTGAGCTCCTGCAGCCAGGGCATGTTGGGACCGTAGATCATGCTGGGAGGCGTGATGCCCATGGAGTAGTTAGGAGGGGAGTAGACCTCCGAGCCCTGGCGGTTCGAGACTCCCAGCGAGACAGCCTTCTCGTGGATCTTGTTGTGGTATTCCTCGGTGAGCTTGAAAGCAACTTCATCGTCAGCAGGATCAGTCCACATGAAGAGACCGTTGAAGGTGTTGAAAGGCTGGGAAGGATCATGAGGCCATGCAGAGCCACGGTTGAAGCTGTAAGCCTGGGGACCGAATGGCTCAATGTTCCCAGTGACGAGCTTGATGCTCTTGCCTTGCTGGGCAGCCTTGATCGAGTATTCTGTGGCCATCTCACCAATGTACTCGATGACCTCGCGGGTCCACGAGAGAACAGGCGCAGAATACCAGGTTGCACTGTCGATACCACATCAGAAGCGGCTCATCGATGCGAACAGATTACCACATACCGGTTGCTAGGATCGGTGTCAATTTCACCGCTTCCCGAGACGAAGGATAGGAACGAATCGTGGGTCTTGACCTCACCACTCACACCAGGGACGTTGAGGAAGGCATCAAACAAACCTTCGGGAGGGGTTTCGCCGTTGTAAAACATGACTAGAAGGGCAGTTCAGATGTCAGCTTCTCAGAAATGAAATGTCAGGACACTTACTGGCAGCGCCTGTCGTCGAGCCGTTGGCTGCATAGAACTGGGTGGCAAGGGTGGCCTTTGGAACAGAGGGTTTGGCCGAGTACTCAGCAGTGGCCTCGATCATCGCCTCGAGCTGATCAGCTGGGTATTGAAGGGTGCCTCCCCAGACCTTACCGATCGTGAAGGTGCGCAAAGTGAAGCTAGTGACGATACCAAAGTTGTTCAAGCCTCCTTGGAGAGCGAAGAAGATGTCAGGGTTCTGTGTCTCAGATACGGTGGTAAAGGTGCCGTTTGGAAGAACGATGTCTGGGTCAAAGGTCAGGACACAAACAGTGGTGATGAGAGGGAAGCGGCATACCAGCCGAGATGATGTTATCGATGGCGAAGCCAACCTCGTTGGAGATCCATGCATACCCACTGCTAAGTAGAAGGCCGGCAACACCTGGACGTACGAGCTTGAGCACTTGTTGCAACCCAAGCAAAAAGGTCTGTACTTACCAACCATGGGGGATCGACCTCCTACCACAACAAGACCGTGAGGTGCAAGCGCTGTGTATACTTGTCCCCAGTCAAGACCTGTTCCAATCTTCACAGATTTCTTGTCAGCGGCCAGCTCGATCTGGCTAAACTCGGACATTGCTATTTGCAAACCGTTGGTCGAGCTCATGTTATTATTGTTGCAATGTCCCTTGCCCTTGACCTGAAAGACAGAAGGCTGTCAGCAGTGCGTCAAACAGGAAGAGTGAATCGGCTCACAGCCCAAGGAGTACGCGTCGTCTTGATAATCTCAAACTGTCAAAAGCAGGTTAGAAAGCACATCCCTGATAAGATCCAGGAGCTACCCACCAAGCGCTGAATGTCCGCAGGACTGTCTGGCTGAACCGAACACATCGACGGCAGGCTGCTGGCGTTGGACCAGTGTGACATATCGTTGTTGTACTGCAAGGCACCTGAATCGAACGTCAGTCTGGGAATAGCACAGCCTATTGAAAGACGTACCAGCAAATGCGGGACTCAGATCAGGGCTCCCCCGAATCATGTCGCATGCAGAAACAGCCGCTGCATGGGATGCCATGTCCAGTGCGGGTGCAGGAGCAGCGTTCACAAGCCATGTTGCCGATGCGACGAGAAGAACAAGCTTCCGTGAGGAGAACATAGTAGATCGAGTGAAGGTAGGAGAGATGATAGGAGCTTGAAGCTGTTGAGGAACCTCGAGAGGATGAGGATGCCTTTCTCTGGCTGCAACGCGGCCACCTTTATACAGCCCTCGTATCCGAGTCGCCTCAGAGCACCCATTTGAAACCAATCCGACGCGGAGAATCGGATTGGGAACGTTGCAGAGTCTCTTCTCATTTTCAGAGGGCAACAGTTGTTCCTGTACGCGTTTAGACCCAGATGGAGGTTGGGAGCAAGAGGCACTCCATACTTCCGTGCATCGGGATGATTATTGATCCGTCAGATGGCACTCTGATCCCATCAGTCTCTTGAGGGACGGGCGCTAAAGGCACAAGAAGCATATCTATACGGCGAATGGGTCTTTAATCGGTTCATGATGTCCGTGAATTTCTCAAGGACAGAAAACAGAAGCATATAGAAAGCTCAGGATTTGGCATAGTGACGTACTGCCACCACAATACCCATCTTGTCGACGTATATGCATTGCAACAAACAGCGGGCGGTAAACCGCCCGATTTCGCAGCACGATGAGTTAGGCAGAGGATCCTCCCTAATCTCCATGGGTGTTCACAAGGAGTTATGGTAACATGCGCTTTCGGAGAGCCTAATTATTCACGTTTTATGCTTTCGCCGTGCAGGTAAACTAATGTTGCTGCTATGCTGGCCTCGATCATGTACACAAGCGCTTGACCAAACCTTGACTCCTGTATATTAGACTGCTGGTGCGGGTGCTGAAAGAGCCCAGGCACCAGATGTCATCCTTTAAATGGCCTTTGTACAGTCTCCCAAGTATGGACCGCCACCGTGAAGTTTTTCATACCAATCGGAGCCGTCAAGCTCCTAGATCCCCTAGATTCTGCACTGTTGTGTCAATCAATATCTGCAGGCGTCTAATTTTATCGTTTCGACTTTTGTTATGAGAGCTTTTCTGTGAAAACGGCGCCATCACATGGGAACTCGCTGCCAAAGATTTAGCATTCCGTTGATATGTGCTCCAGTTAGCCTAGCCATCGGAGCCCCGCTATCGGCACTTGCTCTCCAATTCCTAGAAGCATATCCGTTGTGCGGCATTTAGGTACTACGGAGAGGTGCAGCCGCGTCTCGACAAACTTCGGCCCCGTAAGTTCAAAGTACGCCGATCATGAGCACGGGGTATAGAAATCCAAAGTCTGCACCGAATGTGGATGAATGTGTCACTTACGAGCTCAGTTGAAACCTTCTACGCTCATGAAATTGAGTGAATTGGCTGTTCCACCTTCCGTTTCACAGAATGTCCCGTCTGGAAAGTCATGCTGCCACAGCTAACACCCCAGTGATGGGAACATCCTTCCTCTTTCGTCATTACGATCAGACCCCAGCTGGGCGCTACAAAGTATTCAACTGCTTCCTCTTGACCAACACCAGACGAAATGTCTCTGGAAGAGATCTTCTCAACCAGTGAGCTGGAAGTGGTCGTACCCGATACCTCTCTAGAATTTCCAACGTCCTCAGTATCGGTGGATGAATGGCTAGGCCGTGTAAAGATTGGCAAGGTTGAACGGAAGCAGGCTTTCTTCGGTGCGTATCAGATAGAGTTGAGCGGTGTTTTTGTTTATAGAACCACAGATGAACAGTTGCAGTCTCTTCTCGTGCTTAAAGTCAAGCATCCAACACCAGATACGCCTCCGAATGCCAGCAGTCCACCAGTGCTATTGCTCGAGTTTCTGAACTACTTGCAAATATCATTAGAGGCCAACTATCTGGCGCCTTTACCATCTGCGCCTACCCATCTGGAGACACCCAGAACTTCTCTGCTGTCAGCGCCTCCTCGCTTGGGTATCCCTCCAGCACGCTCAGCTCAGATTAGTGGGAGACATCCACCTATCTTTCCCCCAGCAACCCCAAATCCAACACCTTCGACGCAAGAGCAAGATCGGCAGTACGCTGGTGCTGAAGGGCCTTTCTTGGCTGCCATAATCTGGGGGAATAGCACTGCAGATGACTCCAAAGAGGCGTTTACCTTGTTGTGGTCATCGAAAGAGAAGGTCTGGATAGCTGTTTATCGCATGGTTTTGACCATCTGTGAGTGATAGACCACAATGATAACAGCGCAAAACTGACCGGGTCATAGCTTTCGTCAAGGCAATCAACTTCCCAAATCCCTTGCTGTCACTCACAGTATCAACAACACTAAGAGAGAAGCCTATTGCGACCTCTGATCGACACCCTCTAACAAAGTTCCTCCACACCCTCGGAGTGAAACCGCCATCGTCGCCTGTGGATGACGCTTCGGCAGATGGTAATCTAGAGCACGAAACCCTACTCGATGGCTTAGAAGAGATAAACTTGCTGGAGGGTCTCCTTGCCGGTAAGTTCATACGTCTATGATATTCAATCAAGGCGTCTCACAAGCTATCAGGTCCATCGTTCGCGAAGCTGGGCGCAGAGGAGATACATGTGCCCTCAATACGGCTAGGGGTTGTCTCGCGCCAGAAACTGTTCTCTTTGCCTCCGATGCTCGCCAACACGCCATTCCAGCCATCACCATCGCCCATGACAGCAGTTCGCA